TCAACGTGAATTTGACCCAACTCTGGGAGGCAGTGGAAGACAGGAGGGCCTGGTGTGCTCTGTTCCATGGGGGTCACGAAGAGTCGGACACGACTTAACGACTAAACAACAACAACAATCCTTTTTAGCAATAGCAATTTCTTAGTCCTATCTAAGGAACTGATAGATAATCACAATCAACTCTGCTTTAATACAGTTTACACCTAAAGTTTCTGATGGAATGATTATTCAAAATGTTTTACTCAGATGTTTTTTGGAATTCCAGCATGAGAGACCTGCTGCCTCTGTGTTTACCAGAGAGTCTGCCCCTCTGTACCTGTTTTTAATCTTCCTTTGAGAAGTTCTTAGAATTTCAGGTTCAAAACTGCAAACATCCTGTTTCGTTAGAAGCTAGTTCTTTGAAATGCAATGAGGTTTACTTCTAAGTATGTGTGAGTCATAATGCAGATCCTGCTAAGTTCTGTAGATCTTTACTCTCCATCAAGTATGTCACGTGTCCAGCCCTCCACATCTCCTGCATTAACATGCTTTAAGTGATTCCTCCCAGACAAAAAACAAACAAAAAACCACCTGTGCACTACACCTCTAAGTCTGTTTGCTCTGTAATAAATTTGCTCAAGCTGAAGAGGCCGTAAATTATCTAAATAGCTTTGAGAATGGTTGGCCATATGTAATCATCTTAATAAATTGTCAGTGCCCTGCTTAGCTTTTACTATCCAACTTTATTGATAGGATGCACATGTAAAATTGTGAGAGCATTTAAAAGAACAAAAACTAGTTTTACTGAGGTAAAGACAATCCTGCTCTTCCATAGTAAAGTATTTCGATCTCAATTATAAGTAGGCATTTGAGAAAAAAACACTACACTGGGCCTCCTAGTTACAAATGACTGTGCCCCATAGTTACTGTATGCCCTCAGAAGACACAGACAATCCTCCCCCTCTCACTTAGCTTTCTTCTGTACTGCCATCAATCCCATTGATAAGAAATGCAATATTCAGTGACTTAAGTATATCTATGCTATACTTTAGCACTGCATTTCAGAGAACAGCACTAGAATTCTCTAGCACAGCCATTCTCAGGTGGGGGCCTGGCACATTTGAAGGGGGCCACAGACTGGAAACAATTCTTCACACACCACCTTATAAGGTTCATGATGCAATTTATATAATCCTGATTTGACTTACTGTATATTCCTTTTATGTTGTTTTTATGGGTATGGTCAAAGAAAAGTTGACAATGGCTGCTTAGCAGATAATTTCAAATCTATCACTAAACTATAAAGCCCAGGATTCTGACCAAAACAATTAAAGTGCCATTGTACTGCTGTAACGAGTGTAGATACACTCACTGTTAAGTCCCCATCTCTCTCCCAGACTCTCATGTCAGACAATCACCAACAATTTCTAAAAACTGGGAGAAGGAGAGCAAAACATGGCCAGCAGGTAGCTCTTCCTCCTACAGGGCCATCACTCACTCCTCACTCCCACAAACAGCTAATTGTGCTTTCTAGGGGATGCATCTGGCCATCTTGCTGCATTTAGACCTGTGGAACATTTTCCCAGTGTCTAGTCCCCAGGGTCACTTCTAGTTTTTGAAGGAAAATAACTTCTGTGGATCTAAATTATACCAAGGAGTGGGATGAATGCACTGAAATGACCAATCTTACATAAAGAGTGCCAGAGGAAAATAACTTCTGTGGATCTAAATTATGCCAAGGAGTGGGATGAATGCAATGAAATGGCCATAAAGAGTGCCAACTTTAGATCCTTTGGAGGCATTTTTGAGAGTAAGGGTGATGCTAGTTGCAGATGTGGTTCTAGGAAGAAAGTCAGCCAGTGGGTGGTGGAAAGACTCTTGCCACTGAAAAAAAATTGGGTAATAGTGCTGGTTAGGGGCGGGTGAGGCTGACAGAATTACTCCTTCCAAAATGCCTTTAAAACTATGAGCCACAACAGGACATTGACCCAGGGACTAACCAGTCTCAGAGGTTACAAAATGGCTACTCTCTGTTGTGGTGCAGGGACTGTATGTAGAGAGAATTCTAATGAAATATTGTGGAAAACGGCATGGCTGTCTGGACATGAAGTCAAATCTATAAGAGATCATGTTGTAATATATCTGTTAATCTTCAGTTTCCACAGGATTATTCTTTTCAGCCTACACAGACCAACAAGACTGCTCTTGTGGACTATAATAATCTAAAGCAGGCAAAGTGTGGTCCACCACATTACTGGATTACAACCTCCATAATCCTACTTTTGGCTACTCCACCTGGGACAGATGGGAACTGAAGTTTGACAAGAGTGTGGTCCACCACATTACTGGATTACAACTCCATAATCCTACTTTTGGCTACTCCTCCTGGGACAGATGGGACAAGGTATGGAGGAGCCAGAGGTTGCCCCAATTTAAGATCTAAAGGATTTTGCAATAGGTGTACTGAAGTTTCTAACCTCAGCAGAAGACTCTCCGATGGACAAACTGAATTGTTCAATGAGAATCCTACTGGTGTTTATGCAACTTTCTGTGGCACAAACACCAAAGCACATCTTGGTCACATATTAGACTGAAGAACCGAGACACACCCAAGCATTAATGAGCTACAATTAGCAGCTGAAAGTATACAAACACCAACAGGATTCCAGCCAGAGAAATGTTTGACTTAGAAATGCAGAGGGGATGAAGGATGTAGTGCTTAGATTATATTTGAAATAATCAATAGAGGTCTTTAATAAGAGGAGGAAAAAATGTGGCCTGCCTCAAAGAGCTACTGTATATACAGTGGTGCCTCACAAGATGGGTGCTCCGTTTAACGACGAATCCACATTACTACAAGGTTTTTGCGATCGCAAAATGGGGGAATTTCGCTGCGCGATGATCGGTTCCCTGTTTCGGGAACTGATTTTTGCTTCCCGACTATCAAAACAGCTGATTGTCGGGTTTTCAAAATGGCCACCGGGTGCTCAAAATGGCTCCCTGCTGTGTTTAGAAGCCATTTTTTGCTGCACAGGCACCCGAAAATGGCCACCCCTATGGAGGATCTTCACTGGACGGTGAGTTCTTAGCCGATTGGAACGCATTAACCAGGTTTTAATGTGTTTCAATGGCTTTTTAATTTTTGCTTTACGTATGTTTTCGATTTTGCTGGAACGAATTAACATCGTAATGCGAGGCACCACTGTACTATGCTTAGGGTTCAGTGCTTGCATTGAAGGAAAACACCCATACTGACTCCTGAATGTAAGAGAAAATGGTCTCAGCAAGCCCTAAAACTGACAAGGCCAACTACTGTAACTATTCATTGACATTACTTCTGTCTGCAAGTGAACAAGGTCTCTTCTACAACACACTTTTTCACCTCAGGGCTTTACAGTGAAAGCTGGCAGGTTTCTGAAGTCAAGGCTGAGTACCAGCACTATTTACATTAAGGAGAACCTTTCACCGTCCTGCTATTGAACAACTATTCCTGCAGTCTGTTACCCATCAGCTATGATTCTGGGAGCTAAAGAAGAGGTAGCTGTCAGGGCCTGTGCTGACATGTCAGACAAAACCAAGGGGCTAAAGTTCAAAAGATCTGGAGGACCAAAGATTCCTTGCCCTGATATCTACAATTTCAGACAATAACTTGTGTGCTCATTAGCACTACCCATTTGGAGATGAGATAAATAGTATCTTTATCAGGCTAATTGCATAAGACTGTGAGGCCAACAACGTTTTTCAAAAATGTATAGTAATCCTTACCTCATGAGAACAACGACAGAGGTTCATAAAGAGGATAATCACCTTCCCTCTGAGGGAAAAAACTCCAAAGCCAGCCCTCAAATTTGAAGGATACAATCCCTCCCACACCAACAAAAACTGAAAAACAAACAAATAAAAACAAAAGCAAACAACAAAGAGCCCTGGAGTTAAACAAAAACAACAAATGTAGGAGGCAGGGTTTTTTTAATAAACTCTTCCCCTATTAGAAGTTGGTATAATTAACTGGAGTTGATTGTTATGAAGTTTAGCACAGGAAAAGACTTACAGCTCACATCCAGAAGATATAGTATTGGGCAATAGCTCATCAAGGCTTGATTGCTTTAGGATCTAGGGGTTATGATGCACAGCATTGGTCAGATATAACAAACTTTGAGAACTAGACATAGAACTGAGAGATGACTGATTACCACTCTTACACAACTTCCTTGTGAGCTGCCAGAGACACATGGCTGCAGTTGGAACTAAAATCTGAATTACATAGTTCATGGATAGGAAACCTCCAGTTCACCACAGGTTCAGCACTTCCCATTATGTGGGACTATTGGCCATGCCAGGCAGACCTGATGGAACTTGGAGCCCTATAACATCTGAAGGGTTACAGACTCCCCGTGGCTGAAAAGGTCTTTGGTCTCCTCTATAAAGCTACCATTTGAGATGCATACAATTGTTGTGTGTGAGGTTTGCTGTGTTTCACTTGCAACAGTTCTTGTTTTATTTACAAAACTAAAGGAACTTTGCTTTATTTGTCTACTCTTTCCCAAGAGTAACTGCAACATCAATTGAACAATCTGTCTTGCAACAAAAGCTTCTGCAGTTATTTTAGAACCATTATTTATTTGGAGACCATCCTGTCCTGCTAACCAGATATGAGTTTCTCTGGCAGAGGGCTTCAGCAAAATGAGGGAGGAAAATGACCTTTTGCTTGTGGCACATCTCACTGGTTTGAATAACAGGATTTTATGAAACAATAAAAAATGAGATTTCTTTTCAGTGGCCTTCCACAGTAGTTTAGTGAGTGCAATGATTCATAATTTTTTCAATAATTTTCTTCAGCACCAGGTGATGTAAATTATTAGAGTTACCCATCTGGAAATAACCAAGACTATGGCTTACAGAAACCTGACAAATGCCACACAGTGAGTTTGTGGCTGAGGGAAGATTTTGAATCCATGTTCTCCTTGTCCAAAGCCAAATCACAGGCTACAACAACAGTTATTTATTTGGAGACCATCCTGTCCTGCTGACCAGATGTGCGTTTCTCTGGCACAGGGCTTCAGCAAAATGAGGGAGGAAAATACCTTTTGCTTGTGGCACATCTCATTGGTTTGAATAACAGGATTTTATGAAACAATAAAAAATGAGATTTCTTTTCAGTGGCCTTCCACAGTAGTTTAGTGAGTGCAATGATTCATAATTTTTTCAATAATTTTCTTCAGCACCAGGTGATGTAAATTATTAGAGTTACCCATCTGGAAATAACCAAGACTATGGCTTACAGAAACCTGACAAATGCCACACAGTGAGTTTGTGGCTGAGGGAAGATTTTGAATCCATGTTCTCCTTGTCCAAAGCCAAATCACAGGCTACAACAACAGTCTGATCCCAGTTATGCTTATTCGGAAGCAAAGCCTACAGAGTTCAATGCGACTTGGCTCCCTGCTCTCCCCCAAATGTTCATAGGGGTACAGCCCAAATTGCATAACTAAGCAGCAGAATACGTACAGAAATGATAACTGACTAATGGAATGCCAATGAACTGTACAGCTTTACCAGCCTGAGCAAAATCCACCCATCCCTCCGCTGTACAAAGCTGCCCACAAAACCTAGCTATAAATCTTATATTTTAAAAAAAGAAACACAGAAGAGATTTTTTTCCAGCTTCTACCTTCCTTACTTTCCACTCAAAACCCCCCAAAACATTCACCCCATGGGAGCAAACAATCATGTGTGATAAGACTGCTGCACAAGCAACTTATACTAGTCTTCCATTTTTATTTTCTTCACCTCTGGCTGACATTCCTCAGCCTCGCAGGAAGCTGGCAATGTCGGTCCTTTGGGATCACCAGTGTTGCCTGCCACCAAAGTGTTCAGGGCATTGTGCAGCCCTGCTGGAGGTGATGGTGGAGGTGGTACAGAAGGACCTGGAGATGAACACATAGGTTGCCCTTGGGAGTCTAAGGGCACTGAAAGAGCCGGAGCCCTGGAAGCAAACAAGCGGGCCAGATTCTCCAAGGCAGCTGTTTGCCTGTCCATAGCATCTGCAATCTGTCTGGTAGAGGTCTCCATCACAGTTATGAGTTTGTCCACATTTTTTGTAGCCTGGTCCACGTGGCTTGCGAGGATGGCAAACTCTTCTTTGCGAGCATTATTTTCCCTGGTCTGTGCAACCTCGGCTGTCTCCCTGTGCTTTGAGTGCAGATCAGACAGAGCATTTATGAGTCTGTCACCCACTTGCGAGATGGCATCCACAAGGTCCGAGGCAGCTTCAGTTTGCTTCCTCTGTTTTCTGTTCCAGTGGTTGCTCACTCTGTCTACATCAGCTAGGGATGCCCTTGGAAAGGAGCTGGATGGGCCTGCAATGGAAGAAAGGAGAAAAGTTCAAAGAAGATGACGACGAATGTGGCCTTTCCTGGTCCTTCAAAATCTTCATTGGATTTGTCAGATCTCCCAGTGCAGCCATCAAACGCATGACCAGCCTTTACCTGGCTAATCACCTTTAAACCATCTTTTACTTTCACTGGGGTAGCCTTAAGCCCAAATCATAAGAGCCCAATTGTTTTTTTTAAATTGAAACATGAAAACAAGATCTCTACTGAAATAATACAAAGGTTACACTGTACATTCTTAAGCTTGAAGTTACCTGAATTGTTAGTGTCAACTTTCCCACACCAGAAGTAGCTTTCTCTGATATAAAGTAACTACTGTATCTTATACAGCCTACTAGAAACCCAAACTCCTTTACTTAGATACAGTTTAACTCCCTCTCTCCTCTCTCCTCTTCAGCTCTTCTTTTTATATCACCTGCTGGCTCCTCTCTGAATTGGCTCTAATTTCTGACTTCTTCCAGCCAATCTCTTTCTTTCTGTTGTTGGTAGGTAAAGTGGGTGAGGGTTCTGATGATCAAATTAATAAAATGGCCACATTCTGTGGGCAGCCGATGGCATTCTCCAATGCCAGAAAAACAAGTCATTTCACACAGAAATATGGGAGAGGCTCCCCTGTGCTGTGGCACCCTGGATACAAAATGCCTTTCCCTTGGAGGGAGACCTACTGAAGAACAATGTTGACTTCCAAGTCCACAAAATCCTATGGGGTTAATTACGGTTGAGACGTCTGGTACAGGCATACTGTTTCAAATTGTTTTGAATTGCTTTGCCTGTGCTCTGCCTTGAGATCTTTTGCTAGAGTTGGACATAATTTTTTTATATATTTAAGTTTAATAAAGGTTCTACAGGTGGAATCCTGCCACTGCATCCCTTTCGTTCCCTAATTTTTATAAATTAAGAAAACAGCAACTTATAATCTAATAAACATACAACCCAAATTCCACAACTAGAAAGCTATTTTTGAAAAGCTGAGTTTTACTGCTCCAAACTCACTCACCTAAATGGACAGAATGGCTCTCCCCTCTGGCATTGGAAAAGCTGGGTGAAGCCACATCACCTGCCAGAATGCCATCTTCTCCATGCTGTTCCCATTCATCACTTGGGGAATGTGCATTCACTGGGTCGGAATCCATTTGTGTGTCTTGAAAATAGCCATTGGAGTCATCAGTGGGCTCTGGAATGGATGCTTCATCATCATCAGAAACAAGGACCACACTTAGCTTTTCATTCTTCTCCTGCTCCAGGCCCAGCTTTTGTGCCTCTCGATTCCTCCGATCTATAGAGAGCGACACTTTGGACACCACAAGGCCCTTGTGCATGCATAGAAAACTGTTCAAGGAGTCATAGAATGGCAGGGCCCGTTGACCACTAACAGAGGAGTTGTTTCCACAAACAATCGCCTTATATCCTCGACGAAGTTCCTTAGCACGCAACCGGCACTGCTTCATATCCCGGTCATAGCCATATTCCCTCATCCGATCCGATATCCACTCGTACTGGGCCTCATTGCGAAAATTGGTAGCCAGTGAGGCTTGGACTTGGTCATCACCCCATATTTCAATGAAGGTCCGGATTTCCTCATCAGGCCAGTATGGGTTACGGTGACGGATGTTCTTTCTAGGAGCAAATGGCTGGATGTTCATATTTTCTCCTGGCAGTTGCTGCTGATCACAAAGCAATGACTTGGCAGCTGCAGACAAGGGATGCTTTGTCGGTGCAAGAAATTTAGATCGGAGGTTGTTCAGTCTGTGCAAATTATTCTGCAGATTCTTTAAGAGATCATCACTACCAGCCATGTTTTATGTCCCAGCTGCAAAATGAGAAGCCACACTATAAAATTCCACCAGTACAGCCAGAATTTTTTTTTCTCCTAAACAGTTTTTCTTTGCTACCTGGTTTTTCTTTGCATCCCCAGTTTATGTCACTGGGATGGGGAAATCTATGACTCTCCAGGTGCTGTTGGACCACAACTCCATTAATCCTTCTCCCATCAACCCTAGGCAGCCTATGGCTTATGAGAGCTGCAGTCCAACAACATCTGGAGGACCACCTTTCCCACCCAACATATGAAATTGCTTCTTAATGTATGTACTGTATAAAGAAAGTTATGCAAGGACTTTGAAAAGAACATATTATTGCTTACCAGTTGAATATCTCGGTAGAATTACAAGAGAAACTCTAATGGACTGGTTCCCATCACCTATTCATGTCTGGAAGAGACCAATGCATCTTAGAGGAGTCTACAGTACCATTCTATGCAGATTACGCAACAGTATACTTTAGAAAATTCACTGACACTTCCTTGGGATAAGTGTTACTTGTTCCTTTGTAATAACAATGATCACAGCTGATGTGTATCTGTGACCTCCTCCTCAATAATATGGTAAAATTGCTAGACCAGGGTTGGGAAGGTATAGCTTTCCAGACATTGATGGACTGCAGTTCACATTCGCCTTAGCCGGCTTATTTAATGGTAAGAGGTTATATGAATTGTAGCTCACCAACATTTGGAGGGTGACATATTTGCCAGCCCCGGTTTATAATCCAATCACTTTGAATGGCAGAGGGGGAAAAATCGCATGGTGGAATGTTACTCTGTATAAAAACGATCCTGTACATATAACACATAAGAAGGCAACACTGGAACTTTTCTCTCTTGTAGTCCAGTATTTGCCCTCAGGGGCTTTTACTCCATGGATGGCTATGCAATCATATAAGTTTCTCTCTACAGCTTTAAGTGGTGAAGCCTGAATACAACTGGTGTTCCCATTTCAAAAATACAGTACACATGTATCCCATCCATATGCATGAGCGAGATCAAGTGCGAGCAAGCATGAATGAACTGGGTCTATAACGCCACAACAATTCAGCACTGGTACTCGATTGGGGCAAGGGAAACACTACCAAAAAGTTTTCTTCCAGAACTTCCATCATGGAAAGGAATGTACAGCTTTCTTGGGCGCTTTTAGAAAATTCTGCATGAGTTGTAGGCACAGCTTTGGTGAATGTACTGTAATGCCAGTCTTCCCTGACATGGTATGCCCCCCAATTATGTTGGGAATCACAGTCCCATGCATCCAGAGGGCACCAAGCTGTGGCCCATAGCCAATCAAGCATCTTGGTTGCTTGCATCCTAGAGAAAGGTGGGCTATGCCAAATGAATAAATAAATAGCAGCTTACTCCCTCTAGTACTCCTTACTCCCCACATACCTAGCCCTGGCATTTTCTAACCCAGAGCATACACGTTTGAAAATCAGGAACCACCCCCCCCAAGATCCCGAAAACAGAAAAAGCAACCCCCTTCTCCCTCAAAAGCACCATCTGTTTCAAGCCTTGGTAAGGGTGAGAAGAAAACAGACACGTACGATAAAAAACCTTCCCCAGTAAAGTTGTTTTTAAAATCAGAATTCTAGGAGCCCACTACTTACAACATGCTGTTATTTCATGTGCATCATATAAAAAATTGGGATGATTTTTTTTTAAAGTGTGGTTAAAAATAACTCTGGGATGCATCCTTACTCTCCCCTGTGCTTCCTCTCACCCCCTAGAAAACTTCCCCCCCAAAAAAGGCAAGGCACCTCCCTGGCGCTCTTTCCAGAGCGACCCTTGCGTGCCCTCCAACGTTATGATGCCCAATCTCGTATCCACAAGCCTCCAAAACCACCTCCCTGTCTTCCCTAAAAGCTGCTACTGCTCCCCTACCCACAACCGCACACTTACTTGCAAGTTCCCGGCTCGCTCGTGGGCACCTAGGCTGCCTCCGATTGGACCAGAATTATGACGAGCTCAACCCGGGCCCAATCAGAAATAGCCTGAAAGAGGCAGGACAAAACAGAGGAAGAAGGAGGGGGGAAAGAAGCGCTCCATCAGGAAGATAGGGAGGAGCTCTCGTCCAGCTGGTGAGTGGCAGGCGGAATGCCGAATGAGAAGGCAAGGAAGGGGGGGCGGGTGTTAGGAGGGGAAAGGAGGCTTATAAAAGAAAAGCTGCAAAATAAGACAGCACGCAGTGCTATTTAAAGTGTGCTTGAGGGGGTTCCCATTTTGGGGCGGTGGGTGGCAAGGCTTGCAAAGGGAATGCAAAGAAATGTAACACCAGCAGAGCTTTGTAACCCGCTTTTTTTTTTACCTTGGAGACTCGGCGGGGTATTTGGAGCCGAGGCGGACGGAGTGGAAGACTTCCAACCGGAGGCAGCCGAAGAAGCCGGGGTAGAAGCGTCCCTCCGGCGGGCAGCCGGGCGGCGCCTGGCAGTTGGAATAACTTCTTCCCACCCTGCCGAGAGAGAGCCATGTGACCGCAGCCGGGCAGCCCTCCGGCCACCCGAGGGGTGGGGCTCCAGCCGCCACGCCACGCCACGGGGGTCATCGGGAAGTTAAGCCGCTTGGCCGGCTTTGTTCCTGGGGCTGAAGGAACGCCGGGAAGCCGAGGGGGCTGGCTGGCTGGCGCCCAGGCTGCTCGGAGGCATCTTAGCGCAATTCTCCAGACAGACTGCCCCCCCCCTTCCCGGGTCTTTCCTCAAATCAGATTTTATCTCTTGAGTGCAATAACGCTTCTCCTCTTCCTCTCCCCCCCCCCACCTTCCTGCCCTGCCATGTCAGTCTAAAGCGCAACCCCACAATGCGTGTCTCGAATTAAAAAAAATGAGTACGATCAGGCGGCAAAAGTTCGGGGACGGCAGAAGAATTTCTTGAATCCACCTCTTTCGGTCCCGTGAGGGGCGCGTGGTTTGTCCTGGTTTTCTGTTCGGCCCCTGGTGTGAGAAATGAGGTCATCCTGGTGTCTGGATTAGTATTCTGTGCCAAAGGAGGTTTCAAAGACATCACCATGGTAGTCCCAGTACTGTCCATCCCAAGCAGAATCATGTGGCAACTTGCCTAGCAGAATTATTTTAGTATGGGCGTTTGCAGATTACAGTCCTTTTTGTTTGCATCTAAAGAAGGGAAGACATCTCCATGTATCTGAATGAATGACTTCATTAAATGGAAATTTAGATGGGGTGAAATAGGTGTAGGAAGTTCTGACATTCTCTAAGGTTATGACAAGTCATGTCTTCAAATATGTCTTGCTGTGTTCTCTCTTTTCAAACCCACACTGACTTCAGCTTTGCTCCTCTTGTCTTCCTTCCCATGTTATTCCAGGCTGGGTGTTCTCAAGTTACTTTGATTTATATTACTCCTAGCTCTCAAGAATCACAGGCATTCCCTTATACCACATTTGCTTTGTTATGATCATAATCAGTGCCTTAGAACTGCTGAGGTGGATGGGATCCTATGGATCATCAAGTCCAGCCCTTGTCAAGGGGGCACTGTGGGAAACTGAACTCCTATTGCAAAGAAAAGGAATATTTATTGCAAAGAATGTTTATCGCAAAAAAATGTTTATTGCGCCTCGTGGCGCAGTGGTTAAAACGCTGTACTGCAGCTAAAACTGTGCTCACGACCTGGGGTTCAAATCCCAGGTAGCCGGCTCAAGGTTGACTCAGCCTTCCATCCTTCCGAGGTCAGTAAAATGAGTACCCAGCTTGCTGGGGGGGGGGAGCAATGTGTAGCCTGTATAATTAAATTGTAAACCGCCCGGAGAGTGCTTGTAGCACTATGGGGCGGTATATAAGTCCAATAAATAAATAAATAAATAAATAAAAAGAATATTTAAAAGTGTGTTAACAGAAGTAACAAGTTTATAACTTCTTAAATTTCAAGACAAATATGTGGATTCCCCCATTGTACATATGTGGTCCTTTCCAATCCATTTAAAGTAAATATGTAGTTGTTAGGCCAGCTTTTCTCATTGTTTTAAGACCCATGTTTGTCATCGTTTAGTCGTGTCCGACTCTTCGTGACCCCATGGACCAGAGCACGCCAGGCCCTCCTATCTTCCACTACCTCCCATAGTTGTGTCAAATTCATCTTGGTTGCTTTGAAGACTCATGTTACCCTGTGGTAAATATAAACATCACATGCATGCTTGTCAATGTCTGCCTCTCGAAGGTTCCAGGAGCACTGATTTTTCAATTAAAGGGGGTGCAGTTCAGTCAACCCGCCAAAATGAAATAAAGTACATTTGCAGCAGCGGTTGTTCTGAATTTGTTGTTATTATTGTACTTATTATTTTAATTGCTAATTTTCAGGTGTGGTACCAATTCTAATGCACTCTGGGGGTTGAAAAATTGAGCCTAGGTACCTTTAAAGCTGCAGCCCCATTGTTGAGAAGGTAATCCTATCCAGAATAGGTATTTCCACAGCCATCTGTGTTGTTGAATCAGCCAGTAGCATTGATTCTGTGCTGTTTGGGCTGAGTTCAAATGCATTTATCCCCGTGTAGTCTTTCACTAGGTCTCAGATGAAAGGAATCTCACTTGAATTTGATAAAGAGGAGTGATATTGTTTCATCCGCCCATCATTTTTTTATACTGCCTGCAAACCACCCACTATGAGAGGATGTGCACCTTGCCTGTGAGGTTCTTAATAGAGAAATTTTTCAGTGTAAAACTTGCCAACAGAAAATCATAAGCATATAGAAAAGCCCCATCCTTTGGTGACCCTTTCTACCTCAATAGTATCATGGCCAACCCTAGGTTTTGTGAGAACTATGGGCAAGAAATGCATCAGAAAAGCCCCATCCTTTGGTGACCCTTTCTGCCTCAATAGGATCTTGGCCAACCCTAGGTTTTGTGGACCAAAAACAAGCACTGTATTGCTATCAAGTAATGCATTGGGCATGTCTAGTCCTTGGATGTCTGTACTAATGGGAATAAAGAAAACATCACAGTTTATATCCTTCCTGATTTTTCACAACACTTTATTTTGCATAGCTTGATAACTAGCTGCTTAGAACTATGGGCAAGAAATGCATCGCTGTTCCAGTGATAAAGGGGCACAGTTCACTTGGTGAAGAAATTCTTTGCACCTTTGGTTCTTTTTATTTCTTATAGCACTGCTAAGCTGTGCTGTACTCAGGATTTTAGCTGGGAATGAAATCTTCTCGTTGAACTATCCAAACACCTAGCAATATGTTACTCAGGATTTTAGCTGGGAATGAAATCTCGTTGCACTATCCAAACACATAGCAATATGTTTCAAAATTGAATAATTTAGCATCTTTCCATGGTGAACTTGGCCAGATGTAGGATTACTTCAATAAAGCAGCTAAAGTTAGCATAACGTGGCAAGGCATCAACGTTGTCATTACCAATGAAACGTTTCCTAAGCAGTAGCTGGTTTCAGGTTTCACTTGTGCAACCAAACCAACATATTAACTCAGTTAACAGTACAACTGAAGGTACACTTTTGCTGTTGGATTATCCTGCAGTTCCTCTTGGGACTGTGGCCATTTGTATGTGATATACTGAAAGTTAGCATAACGTGGCAAGGCATCAACGTTGTCATTACCAATGAAACGTTTCCTAAGCAGTAGCTGGTTTCAGGTTTCACTTGTGCAACCAAACCAACATATTAACTCAGTTAACAGTACAACTGAAGGTACACTTTTGCTGTTGGATTATCCTGCAGTTCCTCTTGGGACTGTGGCCATTTGTATGTGATATACTGTATGCAGTGAAGGTACACTTTTGCTGTTGGATTATCCTGTAGTTCTTCTTGGGACTGTGGTCATTTGTATGTGATATATGCAGTGATCTTAGAATTTAGGAACATGCAGTCATCAATGGCCAGAATTCCATTGGAATTTTACTCTGGAGCAAGTCATGGTGGAAAATTACAGCAAATTAATGGGGTGTTGGTTGCATGCCTGGTTATGCTCCAGTCATACTGCTAGGCATGCAACCTCGGCTTAGGTCCTTTATGAATAATGGGGTGTTGGTTGCATGCCTGGTTATACTGCTAGGCATGCAATCTCGGCTTGGGTCCTTTATGAACCTGTTCGGGTGTTAAGATCATCACAAGAGGCCTTTCTCTTGATCTCACTGCTTTCACAGGTGCATTTGGTGGGGATGTGGGAGAGAGTGTTCTCTGCTGCTTCTCCCAGACTCTGGAATTCCCTTCCACAGGAGGCCAGACTGCCCCCATCTTTGCTCTTCTTCTGCAGGCAGGCAAAGACCTTTCTCTTTAGGCAAGCTTTGCCTGAATGGTTTTTTTTTTAAAAAAAATAGATGGGTTTACCTTACTGCTTTGAATGTGTTTTGGTATTGCTTTTGTTTACTGTTTATTGGTGTGGTATTTTTCTGATAAATTTTAGTATTTGTATATTCACTGTTGTTAGCTTTAAATACTGTCTTAATTATGTAAACCAACTGGGTCCTTTTAAAGGAGAAAGGTGGGATAAAAATAAATAAATAAATAGATAAATAATCAAATACTGAATCGCTCAGTGGCTTAGGTATCTGACAAGAGAGCCAGAGGCTTGGAGTTCAATTACATGCTATGTTTTCTTTACAAGGGCTGGGCTTGATCCCAAGGCTCTTTTCCAGCTCTGCAGTTCTAAGGTTGTTTTTTTTTGGCAGGGGGGCAAATTGCAGGATGAGCAGCTCTGGAGGAAAAAATTATTTGTTTATAAAACAGTTTTAAAGCAGGCAGTTTTCAGAACACCATGTACCCAGCATTCCACTCCCCCCAGTACTCCCATGGTTCTAAAATAATCAATCCTTAATAATTCTATTCCTCAATCTGCATATTTCCCACCCCTTCTGTAAAGTCATCCCATACATAAAAAGCACATTTGTTTTTCCTCAAAAAGTTCAGGGAGTTCTGAGGGGAAAATTTTGCTGTGCAAAGATTAAAATTGTTATCCCTGTATTTATAAGAATTGGTGGGGGGGGGGAGGAGATGTGGCCCTCCAAGATCTTACGATGTGTGTGGCTGCCAAACCTCTGGAGATTGCCCACCCCCCTTAAACTCCTGGATACTTATTTCCATCCATTCCCACCAGATGTCTGGGCTCCCTGGCTCAGTATAAAAGTGCTTGTATCTCTGTGTTGCTCCAAATGACTTGAACAGTACAAGTGGATGCACTCCCTGGCTCCCACCCAGTTCCTCCCTTCTCCCCACTCTTTTGGCATGTCGATTTTGGGCTGATCTTGCCAACTGGGACAAGGTAGGGAGCGGAACACCTGCATCATGATCTCTGAGCCTTCTTGTTGTACCTTAGCAACAGTGGTGCAAAGCTGGTAAAACACCTCCCCCAATCTTTGTTTGCCTTGCCTCTGTGACATCGTAAGCACCTTCCCAGTCTTATACTTTAGCGTCAAAATCTCAGGAGAGATGGGCCTGAGGAGGGATGGGAGGAGTTTCAGTGCTTCTTTTATCAGGTCCTTGATATTTCAGATATGTCTAATGAAGCAGGCTGAAATACCCCCAAATATGCCAAATAAAGCTTATTGGTGATTAAGACACTAAAGGTTATTTGCTGTATTTTGCCGCTGTTATGTTAGTGATTTTCCTCACAGAAGTTTAAACATTTTAACTTGACAAAAGAACCCCACTAAATTACAACACTGTATTTGTTAAACTGCAAATTGTAGTCCCCAGCTGCATGAATACAAACAGTTTTACTTGAAAATTGTGGTTCCTGAAGATGTATGAATTGAATCTGCTATTAAAAACAACAACATTACATGGAGTCTTAAAATTAATGCTGCGAACAATAAAGAACTCAAAGCAGAGAATGTTGTGCTCAAGCAGCTGTGGGCCTTTAAAAATTTCAATAAGATTTTGACTGCTCCTCAGAAAACAAACCCTGCAGATGGATAGGAGTGGAAGCCTTTCAAATCTGAGTGTGGCATGCTTTCTTCTTTTTATTCTGACTGCATTAAGTGACTATGCTGTTTAGAAACCAGAAGGAAGTCAAACATGTTCACTCTTACTATGAATATTTTTAAAGAAGTCATTGATTTTTAGCCAGGCTAATAATTTACTGAGGGGTGAATTGACTATATTTTTCAACTGGCAGTCTGCAGTGTTAAGAGCCCTCTTCATCTTTCAAATCTGTTCTCACCTCCACCCAAAGTTTACATCAAGCTGGACCTCTTCATCCTTAGGAGTACCAGTCAGGGCTCCTTGGGTGTTATTCAGAGCTTGCCCTCTCATTAGTTACCTCAGATAATAGGGAGTGGCAGATTCATCACTCCCCCAGTCCTACCAGCCATTCTGGAAATGGCAGGAATTACAACTGCTTCCTTCTGTTTCCGGGATGCAGGATATGGGTGATGATTCTTCTCCTTTTGGTGCCTCCAGCTC